GGTTTAAATAATGAATGTTTTTTTCTGTTTCAGGTTACTGATAATAAATTTTTTTCTTTTCAGGTTTTACTAATGAATGTTTTTTTCTATACAGGTTTTACTAATGAATTTTTTTCTTTTCAGGTTGTTTGGTAGAGAAAATTCATTGTGCTACCTAACTGTGTCTATCAGTTCTAGCTAGCGCTATGATTTTATTCTACCATGGTTTTACTAATGAATGTTTTTTTCTGTTTCAGGTTACTAATAATAAATTTTTTTATTTTCAGGTTTTACTAATGAATGTTTTTCCTTTTTTGGTTTTACTAATGAATTTTTTTCTTTTCAGGTTTTTTGGTAGACAAAATTCATTGCGCTACCTAACTGTGTCTAGCAGTTCTAGCTAGCGCTATGATTTTATTCTACCATGGTTTTACTAATGAATGTTTTTTTCTGTTTCATGTTACTAATAATAAATTTTTTTTTCAGGTTTTACTAATGAATGTTTTTTCTTTTCAGGTTTTTTGGTAGAGAAAATTCAATGCGCTACCTAACTATGTCTAGCACTGCTAGCTAGCTCTATGATTTTAATCTACCATGGTTTAACTAATGAATGTTTTTTTCTATTTCAGGTTACTAATTATGAATTTTTTCTTTTCAGGTTTTACTAATGAATCTTTTTTCTGTTTCATGTTACTAATAATAAATTTTTTTATTTTCAGGTTTTACTAATGAATGTTTTTTTCTTTACAGGTTTTACTAATGAATTTTTTTCCTTTATTGGTTTTACTAATGAATTTTTTTCTTTTCAGGTTTTTGGTAGAGAAAATTTATTGCGCTACCTAACTGTGTCTATCAGTTCTAGCTAGCGATATGATTTTATTCTACCATGGTTTTACTAATGAATGTTTTTTTCTGTTTCAGGTTACTAATAATAAATTTTTTTATTTTCAGGTTTTACTAATGAATGTTTTTTTCTATACTGGTTTTACTAATGAATTTTTTTTCTTTTCAGGTTGTTTGGTAGAGAAAATTCATTGCGCTACCTAACTGTGTCTATCAGTTCTAGCTAGCGCTATGATTTTATTCTACCATGGTTTTACTAATGAATGTTTTTTTCTGTTTCAGGTTACTAATAATAAATTTTTTTATTTTCAGGTTTTACTAATGAATGTTTTTCCTTTTTTGGTTTTACTAATGAATTTTTTTCTTTTCAGGTTGTTTGGTAGAGAAAATTCATTGTGCTACCTAACTGTGTCTATCAGTTCTAGCTAGCGCTATGATTTTATTCTACCATGGTTTTACTAATGAATGTTTTTTTCTGTTTCAGGTTACTAATAATAAATTTTTTTATTTTCAGGTTTTACTAATGAATGTTTTTCCTTTTTTGGTTTTACTAATGAATTTTTTTCTTTTCAGGTTGTTTGGTAGAGAAAATTCATTGTGCTACCTAACTGTGTCTATCAGTTCTAGCTAGCGCTATGATTTTATTCTACCATGGTTTTACTAATGAATGTTTTTTTCTGTTTCAGGTTACTAATAATAAATTTTTTCTTTTCAGGTTTTACTAATAAATGTTTTTTTCTGTTTCAGGTTACTAATTATGAATTTTTTCTTTTCAGGTTCTACTAATGAATGTTTTTTTCTATTTCTGGTTACTAATTATGAATTTTTTCTTTACAGGTTTTACTAATGAATGTTTTTTCTATTTTATGTTTTACTAATAATGGTTTTTTTCTTTACTTGTTTTAATAATTAATGTTTTTTTATATGTTTTATATTAAGGAATGTTTTTCTTTAAGGTCTCCCACAGTCCAAATAAAATTTTGGCAATATTAATATTATTTCAACTATTGCAGTAATATATTTTGTTCTGAGGCGTGGTTAGGCCTAATGCACATTTTGACCTTAATTACAAATTGAATAAAAATAATTTTAATTTGTAATTGAACAAACTGCGTGCAATGGGGAAGCACGTTAATGAGCGCGTCTAATGTTCTACCTCTTGGTTGATGCGGAAGAGGACATAATTATTTTTTTGAATTTTGAAAAACTAATATCAATTTCGTAATCAGCGAAAAATATGTCCGCCATTTTGCTCCATTAGCATTACAATTTTTTATTGTATGTCAAATTCGGTAAATTATTTTTCATTCATAAAAAGAATTAATTAATTCATTAAAAATTTTTTTTAGAATTTGTAAATTTTTTTGACAATTATTTTTAAACTTTCTGTCTCCTTAAATTCTCCTTTTCTATAAACATTTTGTTCACCATAATTGTTTTCTTTTCTTTTCTAAAATATTCATGTTTTTTTAAAATTATTTTTTAATTACTGACAAAAATTGATATAGGTATCAATATGACAATGTTTTATTTTTATTTTTTTTTTTTGATTTAAATAAAATTTTTTAAATTACTGTATTAAAACAAAAATTTTCATTTTATATTTATTTAAATTAATTTATTAAAAAATTTTTTTTATACGTGAAAATAAAAAAAATTATTTAAAATTGGATCAAATTTTTTAATAACTTAATTCTGATTTACTTGAAATCTGTCATTCGGGATTTTTTGGGGTCGCTGATTACGAATCTGTCATTAGTTTTCAGAAATTCAAAATGGCGCATCCAAAATGGCTGACTTTTTTTAAAAAAATTGATTCGATTTGCTTGATATCTGTCACTCGGGGGTTTTTGGGGTTGCTGATTACGAGTCTGACATTAGTATTCCGAAATTCAAAATGGCGGATCCAAAATGGTGAACATAATTTTTTTAAATTCATCGGATTTGGCTAAATTTTTGTACTCAGGGGATTTTGGAATCATTGATTGTTAACCTGACCTCAAAAGTACTTATATACTAAATTTTATTAAATGTCACAATAAGATACAAAAATTGTGTCCGCCATTTTGAATTTCGGACTTAATGAAGTCCAAAAAAATTTTTAATTGACCAGATTTGCATAAAAATGGTTTCTTTAATGTTTTTGGGGTCGCTAAATCCAAATTTGAGGTCAGATTTAAAAAATTAAAAATGGCGGATCCAATATGGCAGAAAAAATTTTAAATTGATTCGATTCGTTCAAAATTTGGTATACTCGGGAGTTTTTGAGGGTTGCTGAATCCCAATTTAAAAAATTTAAAATGGCAAACCAATATGGCGGAAAATTAAAAAATTTATTCGATTTGTTCAAAATTCGGTAATTGGGGGTTTTTGGAGTCTATGAATCCAAATTTTAAAATTCATTTTAATTCAACGACTCCAAAAACCACCAAGTACTGAATTTTGAACGAATAGAATTAATTTAAAATTTTTTCCGCCATTATGAATTTTTTAAATCTGATCTTAAATTTGTATTCAACGATCCCAAAAACTTTCAATACGATGATATGTTATTTTTTTGGAAACTTTTTTTTTGGATCGTTTTTGGGCCACAAACGGTTTTTCTACCAGACTGCGAAGGGGTTAAAATAAGTTTTAAACTTATTTGTACTATTTTAAAAAAAATTAACCCGCATCAACTGTATTTTTTTATATACTCGCTAAAACATATATATTGATATACTTTTTTTTTTTTCACCAAACAATTTTCTTTAAGGTATCACATCGGCACTAATCGGAGTCAAAAGTTTGTAGCTCGCATTACTACTTCCCGCACTATACTTTCGCCCTCAACTCCCTATACTCTCAGCCCTTACTGTACCTACTTCTACAAATACACTCGTACACGTATACCCCACACTAGCAGCGATTGGAAGGAGTAGGAGGTTTGACAACGTCGCTATAAGTCTCGCTTTGACTGCTGTGGACTACTGTCTCTCTCTAACTAATGTTACCATCCTGCGATGTTGCCACATCAAAGTGGCGGGTGTGCTATATATTGCAAATGACGTCATGAAATAAAATTTTTAATTTATAATTACAAATAAACGGCACGGTAAATTATAAATTTCTTTGTATATTTTAGTTCCAAATTTATTCGTGAATTCAACATTAGTTTTTGAAAAAAATTTATAGAAAACTTCTGATGATATTTATGAAAATGTACTTCTCCCCCATACATTAGTCCCGTCTCCCATGCAAAATAAGCAACTTTGATTGCTAATATCTCTGGTTTCGTACGGCAAAAATTCTTCATATTTTGCAAATTTGTCAAGAATGATAATAAGAATATATGGTAAAATTTTCAAGAAAATCTATAGAAAACGGTTTTACCGATGTGATACCTTAAGTGTCCTTCAAACTTTGTAAACCAGTTTTGTATATGTTCTTTGCCAAAAACTTTCTTTTCAAATATATCATTATATTCTCAAATGGTAAATATGTATATATATACAATCCGATAATAATTTCAACAAACAGATTTAAGTTGAGAGAATACACACGAGAGTGTTCACCATTTGAGAGAGAGAAATAAGGCCCTTCGAAGGGACGACGAGTGGTAAAGGAAAGAAAGATACATACACCACGAGTCAAATCCTGTGGAAGGGATCCGAGAGGAGAAGAAGAAGAAGGAGGAGGAGGAGGTTCGGTGTCGTGGTAGTGGGAGTCAGGCACGGCTGGTGCTAGTTGAGTTGTCGAACTGACACGCGTTCCCTCTCCCTCTCTTCCATGGGTACGAGCCATCTTGCTCCTTAACACACTGTTGGTTATCTCTCTCTCTCTCTTTCCATAAACGGAGAGCACCCCTCCACATCATCTTTTCATCTCATTCCCACTTCCGGAATGGACCCATTCTTTATCTCTTTTTCTCCTTAGCCCCCCCCTCTCTCTCTCTCTCTCTCTTTCTCTCTTTATTTCTCTATCAAATCGGTTTCTCCTTCTTCCTCTCACTGATTCACTTTAAAAAACTCCATCCAGAGTTCATCTTGTACACCGTCCTTTACTCACTTTTTCTTCTCTCTCTCTCTCTCTCTCTCTCTCGCTCTTATTTTGAGTTTTCTCTTGAAATCTCTCCGTCGCACGCCCACTGAGAATGCACGACGACTGCTTCGGCATGACTTACCCCTCTTTCAGAGAAGGACTCAGTCAGACTCAGTACCGCCATATCCGCCAAACTATAAGCACCGATGACCGGTTTGCTGCTTTTAATAAGTGCTAAACTCGTGTCAACGTGTGACCGCGGAGTCATTAATTGCTAATAGTGGTGTATATGTATAGTGCAAAAAAAATTTTTTTTTTTATTTAAATACAAAGTGTTTATTTTAAATCAGTGCTCCAGGATTTTACCAAGGATTTCGGTTTAATACTGAAGACACGTTTTTATTTTTACGGATATGTGAGTGTATTTTTGTGATGTGTATTTTAACAAGCACTGGATTATTACTTCAATTTTTAAATTATTTGGAATAAGTGTTTTTAAATTCCAAAAATTTACAGATTTCCAAGTTCAAGAAAATTTTACCCCTATTTTTGGATGCTATTCATTCATAAAATACTCCCTCGAAATATAAAATTCCTAAAAATCAAGTCCTTTATTTAAAAATTTTTTTTTAAACGAACCATAAACGGAATAAAAAAGAAAATAATGAGACAATGTCATCTTCTTGTACTTGAGAGGACAAAAGTATTATTTTTGTAAGCGAATAGTAGGTTTTTTTTCTAAAAAGAAAACTTTACATATAAGGTGAATGAAGACATTAATTAAAATCGAATGGACTATGTTGGGAGAAATGAGAGAGTGGATTGGAAAGAAAGTGTTATCTTGATTGGAGGTGTATAATTTTTGAAAAAGAAGAAAATTTGATTAAGAAAAAGGTGAGCGACGGTTGAAAGAGAAATGCCTGAAAAGGAAGTGGCTTATCATCAGGAGGCATTTTCCCTATTGCCACCGCCACCCCATCATCCACATTCGGCTTTTCATGCGGCATTTCATCCGCATCCACATCCCCCAGCACCGTCGCCATTTCATCCTCATCATGGACATGGTTCAGCTGCTGCAGCGGCGGCGGCAGCGGCTGCTGTAGCATGGGAACATCACGCAGCCGCAGCGGCGGCAGCGGCCGCTGTATTTCATGCACCACCACCTCATCCGTAAGTCATCAATTTATTGTTTTTTTCTATTATTTTAGCGAAAAATGAAAATTCTTCACTGTAAACTGTGAAAGTACTGAAATAGTACCGATTTTAGATATCAAAATTAAATTAATACTCTTCCACAGAAAATTAAAAGGCATTAAAATAAGCTGCAACGCTTATTATTTTAATCCAATTTTGCTTATTTTAATACATTTTGGTATTAAAATAAGAAAAATTGGATTAAAATAATAAGCATTGCAGCTTATTTTAATGCCTTTTAATTTTCTGTGTCCCTATACAGAGTGTTCCATTAAATTTTGAAATAAAGAACTTGTTAATTTAAAGTAGTTTAAATGGGTGTAGGAACATATTTAAAAATATTCTTTGTTAGTTTCTAAAGCAAATATTAATTAGAAGCAAAATAAATATTTTCTTTCTGTGCGAGTATACCTAAAAGTACACTAAAAGAAGAGCAAAAAGATTTTAGCAGATTTTAAATAAAAGATGCAGATAATAAAAGTATCAAAAGCAAGTTGCAGACTTTTTAGCGAATTGGATTTTATAGCGATTTTAGCGGTTGAAAATTTGGTGGTTCAACAAAGAATACAAAGATTTTTACATTTGTTTTAAACCATTGGATTTTCTTCCAACAAGAGTAGGTTGAAAATCTGCGGATTGTTTGCAAACTTTCTACGGATTATTTTATTTGGGTTTTCAATCCTTAAAGATGGGTAAAAACATTCCTGTTGAAATATACATATTCCGTTGGAATGCTTTTGGAAGGTTCTACTCTCTAAATTTGAATCAGCGATAAGTATACCACTGGTACCAATCAGCGGATATACGCTGAAAAATCAGTGAAATTCCACTAATTCATCAGTGCATATTAGCTGATTGGAATCAGTGGTATACTTATAGCTGAGAATCAGCGAGATTCCGCTGATTTAAATTTAGAGAGTACGGATAAACTATATCCGAAAATATCCGAATTAAAATATTCCTTTAAAATGATTTTGGAAGGTTCTACGGATAAAAATTTACTGAATATTCCAATTGAAACATTTCTGTGGGAATGTTTTTGGAAGGTTTTATAGAAATAAAACGTCCGGAAATAATCAAATTAAAATATTCCGTTCACAAAAAATTATAAGGTATTAAAATAAGCTGTAACGCTTATTATTTTAATCCAATTTTGCTTATTTTAATACCAAAATGGATTAAAATAATAAGCGTTGCAGCTTATTTTAATGCCTTTTAATTTTCTGTGTTAAAATGGGTTAATAAAATGATTTAGGTAGGTGTTCTATACGAATGAAAATTTCGTGAATATTTCAATTCCCAATGGGAAATTTACTATTGGCAAAAGAGTGGCCCAATATTGGACCAATAGTTACCATTGGCAATTTCCCACTGGGTTGAAACACTTTTCACCGCGGAATATTTTTAGAAAATTCTATGAATAAACATTCCTGGAACATTCAAGTTTAAATATTCCTCTGGAATAATTTTGGAAGATTCTGAGGATAATGTATACCTTCCGTAAATATATTTCCAATTAAAATATGCCACCGGAAATGTTTTTTCGAAGATACTACGAATATGAACCATCCGGAAATATTAAAAATTGAAATATTCCATTAAAATGATTTTAAAAGGTTCTACGGATGAACATTCCGTAAATATTCCAATTGATACATTTCCGCTGGAATGTTTTTAAAAGGTTTTGAGTACCTAAAACTACTGAAACGGGAACAAAAGGATTTTATCAGACGTTAAACAAAATCTACTGTCAAATATTAAAAGTGACAAAATAAATTTTATAATACTGTCTGTTAGGACCGAAAATCGGTTCTATATTTCCATTGGGGGGTTTAAAAAATGATTGCGGAATATATATTCATTAACAGAATTAACTTGTTAGAATTAGTTTTTCAAAATTTATATTGAGAATGGTTATAAACTGGTAAATACTATTTTAGAACTGGTTTAAAACTATTTTGAAACTGGTGGGAACTATTTTAGAATTTGTTAAAACTATTTTTGAAGTAGTTAAAATTTTTATATCAAACTAGTGAAAACTATTTTAAAACTAGTTTAAACACATTTTGCAGTAGTTGTAACTAAATTTAAATACTTTATGTAAATTTTACAATTGTTTTTAAACTAGTTTTTAAGCTTGTTTTAAATAGTTTAGAATCTTGTTGAAAATGGTTTTAAGCTTTTTTTGATATCTAATATGTTTTTAAGTTGAAACTGTTAGTACTGTATTTGTATTAATTGCAAGTAATTTTAAACGCAAAAATACCGACTTTAAACATGCAAGAACTTATTTTAAACTTGTTAAAATTAGTTTTAAACATGCAATTTGGTTGTAACTACTTCTTAACCCTTAAAAATGGTTAAAACAAATTTTAAACCGATTAGAAAATAAATTTAAACTTTTTAGTCTGGTTTTTAAATTCTTGAAACTAGTTTTAAACTTGTTAGTATTAGTTTATTAAAATATTGAAACTTGTTTTAAACTTGTGCGGAACTATCTTATAACTATAGTTATAATTTTTTGTACTAAAATTGGATGTTTCTGCTTTAAAATCAACTACTTTAAAATCGAACTGAATATTTTAAAACTTAGCTAAAATTTAGGTTAAATAATTCATAAATCTTTCTTTAAATTTGTTAGAATAATTTTTTATTACTCACTTTTCATTTAAAATAAAATAATTCATTTTTTTTAAAAAATTTATTTCCCTAAATTTGGATTTAACAAGTATAATTGACTAATTGACAAATTAAATTAGAAAGAATTAGATTCACTTGTTATAAATTAATTCTAGATATCACTGTACTCTTTGTTCACGTGACCCTAAGAGATATAAACAATTGTTATAGTATAATGTCTATTAATTTTGCTTCAAAATTTGCATTATGAACTTTACTGCTGTACAAATGGATAACATCAGTCAGTTAATGCCATCAGGACAAGAAATTGCATTTTATGTGACGGAGTTTAGAATGCGTTTCATGCAATGAAGAGTGTATTATTTATACTTAAGTGAAATTTACGACCCATATATTACAAGATCAGCTATTAAGTATAACATCACACGGAAAGAATAATTTTTTTTTTCGTAGAGAAAAATCTTCAAAAAGATTCATTTGAAAAATTACTAAAAAAAAGAAGTTAAAACTGTACAAAAAAAAAAAAATTTATTTGACTCAAATAATAATTATTTGCTACAAAATCTTTACCTTGAATTGCGATAAGTTTCACTAGAACAGCGATATGTTTCACTAAAACAAAGAAAGTTTTCGCTATTCTAGAGAAACATATATAGCTATTCTAGATAAAAAATTTTTTTTTCCATAGTCAAGTATATAACCAATTATTTGAATCAAATGAATTTTTTTTGTGTGATGATAAAATTTAATTGGTAAATTAAATGTACAAATTTTTACTTCCTCTTCTTCTTTTAGAAAGGAAAAAAATTGATAAAAAAAAAAATCCTTAGAAGTTTAGAAGCTTAAGAATTTATATTGTACTTGTAAATATATAAAACTTCCGTGCACACTATTAGAGGCTAAATTTGACCGCATTCTTCAAAAATAAAAAATATATATATATAAAAGGCATTTTATGAGCTCTATAACTTATTTTTCCGAAAAAATTTTTTTTAAAAAAGTATATAACGTGTACAGCAAATTACTAGGTTGCCGCGACGATGTAGTATATAAGAAATCGAATTACGACGAAAAGCAAAAAAAAAAAAAATATCTATAAAAAAGGAGAGAATTTAAAAAAAAGGATTAACTACCCTAGACAAAAAAAAAAGGAACAGAAGAGACATGGACCTTAAAAATATTATTTATTCATAAGCGAGGAAAATGAGAGCAAAATCATTCAGTTCAAGATCCGCACAAATTAACCTCACATCTCGGGTCAGGGAAAGTTTTCCTATTGTTCAAGCTTTCGCACACTATTTTTTTTTTTTGCATTTACTATGAAGCATTCACTGACAAAACTAGTTTTAATATATTTATTGTGGTAAAAAGTTTTTTTTTTTTAATATTTCTAAAGTTTCTGAGATTAGTTTTAAATTAGCAAAATCAAATAAAGGACCAAAGTAATTTTTTACGTGTCAATTGGATAGATCATGTTTGAATTAGATTTGAATTCATTCTAAATAGTTTTAAAGTGGAAAAAGTGGGTCTTTTAAAACTGTTACAAGTGGTTTTAAAATTGAAAGGTTTTCAAAGTTGAAACTATTTTTAAACTATTGTAATTAGAATTACATTTTTTGAAACTAGTTTCAAACCTGTTAGAACATATTTTAAACCAATTTCAGATTAATTAAATCCTTTTTTAAACTACTTTGAAACTTATTGAAACATATTTTAAACTAAACATATTTTGAAACTAGTTTCAAACCTGTTAGAACATATTTTAAACCAATTTCAGATTAATTAAATCCTTCTTTAAACTACTTTCATACTTATTGAAACATATTTTGAAACTAGTTTCAAACCTGTTAGAACATATTTTAAACCAATTTGAGATTAATTAAATCCTATTTTAAACTACTTTCAAACTTATTGAAACATATTTTGAAACTAGTTTCAAACCTGTTAGAACATATTTTAAACCAATTTCAGATTAATTAAATCCTTTTTTAAACTACTTTCAAACTTATTGAAACATATTTTAAACTAAACATATTATGAAACTAGTTTCAAACCTGTTAGAACATATTTTGAAACTAGTTTTAAACCTGTTAAAACATATTTTAAAACTAAACACATTTTAAAATTAGTTTCAAACATGTTAGAACATATTTTAAACTAAACATATTTTAAAACTAGTTTCAGACTTATTAAAATATTTTTTAAACTAGTTTCAAACTTATTTTAACTGCTGTTACAAGTTTTGAATCAGTTTAAAATAGTTATAAGCTTGTTTGAACTGGTCATGTACTCATAAAAATTGGTTTTAAACTAGTTAGAACATATTAGACTTATTT